AACAGACCTTTCTCCCCTGGAGCTGTCTCCGGCAATTAATCAAGAACGGATAGGGCGGAAAAGAAGCCCTTCTACAGTACAACCGTTGTCTCTCTGTCCAACACTGTAAATATAAACTGTAAAACATCAGTGTGGAATTGCCCAGATTGAGAGAAACAGTGCACGAATAGATGCTTCATTCAGAGGAGGAATGTTCATCTGCTACATGTGCCTTTACCACAAAGTCTAACTTTAAACTTACTGCCTTCTAGTTTGTTAAGCCACATGAAACATATTTAGTTTTTTCCCCATTTGTTTGATCCCTTACAACCAAAAATCATTGTTATGGAGGTTGTTTTTTTTTAAATTTGCAACATACTTCACTGAATTTATACAGTATTACTATTTGAGATACCATAATAGCAATGAAATATTTATAAAATAATATAAACAATGTGGGAATGTACTGCCAATTGTATTGTGCAAAATATTTTTTATCTGTCATAAGGTTAGACTAAGAAAGTGTTTCGTGATTTATTTACTGATTGTTACGGCCTTATTAAATATAGAGATTATCAATGCAAAATCACAGCATGTCATGTTTTAGGGATTGGCTTTATAAACAGTAATGGGTGAAATACGTATGATATATGTATAATCTCAACGATTTATTGAAAAAGGTCAAATGTCATCATTAAATGTATTTAATACTGTGAATGATATATTGAATTAGTGAATATTAAAGTATGTGTTTGAACCTTGTTTCGCTGAAGATCTTCTATTAGAAATACACTTTGTGTTCGTTGTTGTCAGTGATCACCGGTCCAACCAGCATATAGATGGGTATCGCTCCCTCAGTACCTTACGCAGATGAACACTCTGTGCCTTATCTTTGGTTTCTACCACGCACTCCACCTGCAAGTACACATACAGTACATACATAAGTACAGTTGACTTAACACACACACAGACACAGAGTAGAATCAGGGCACAAGGGAGGATATTTTCTTACTGCTTTCACTGGTATTTAACAAGATGAGAATAATGAAAACAAGGGGTTGGTACGACGATCGATGGTAATGATGCCCGTGCAGTTAGGCTCTTGAGTAGAGAAAGCCATTTAAACTAATTAGCTAATTAAAACTTATTAAATGTTATAATAAAACATTTTGAACAATTATCATTATAGTAATACAGTACATCACACATTAGAACTGCTTCTAGACAGTCATTACTGTCACTTTCCTACTACAAGTTACGACATCATGGCTGTGCAGTACTTTGCCACGCCACAGGAGGGCGCATATCTTCACATTTTTATATTATAATGATTATAAATATAAGTTTACATCTGTACAGTAAGGTATCAAATTAACAAATTATTATTATTATTATTATTATTATTATGAGGAACCTTTTACCTTTGCTTTGAAGAGTTCTGACTTGTCACTGTGTCTTCGATGGCTGACGTCCAACAACCTTGAATTGATGACATGAAGCAACCAGAGGTTAAACCCATGCAAAGAATCAAATATAAATATCTGTAGATCTGTAGATGTCTGCTGACCCCACCTCACATCCTCTCTGGACAGGACGTCCAGCAGCTTGGCCATGTCTCCCGGCCACTCTCCCAGCTGGACACAGAACTTACTGACCCGGTGGTCCAGCACCAGGGCTCGGTCAACACACTGCCTCAGCAGCTCCAGCTCCATGTTGGCACTACTCACAACCACAACTACCCTAGAGCAGACACACAAGGCTGTAGTCTGTGTCAGGGTTCAAAGGTCAACCTAGTTTGGTATTTTATGAAATAAAACCACAAGTACATGCCAGCATTTGAATGTTTTAAATGTGACCAAAACACAAATACAACCCTCCCAGACCAATAGTATTTAAATATAGATAATCAACTCCTGTCCCTATTCTGTCTTTTTAAACCAAGCCTTCCTTTTATCATTAAAAAAGCTCCTTTAATGACGTGTGACCCACTTTTTGCCTCTCAGTTCAGGTAGCTGTCCAGCCAAGATGGCTGCCAATCCCATGGCTCCCTCAGTGTCCACAGTGGAGCGTTCGAACTCCTGAAACCGCAGCATTGCCACCAGAGAATCTTCCTCACTTTGAAAAGTGGGAGAAATGGCAAAAAAAACAAAAACAAACTACATATAATACATATATAAATCTATTACTATGAACATATATAGTATGTGTGTATTTCAGATGTGGTACATATATAAATCTATAACTATGAACATACTGTATATAGTATGTGTGTATTTCAGATGTGATTCATTGATGTGCAGTACCTCACAGTGACGACTTTATCTACGAATGTCTTTGCCAACTGAAAAGTATTTACACCAAGTGACCACTCCCCAAGATCTGAGAACAGACAGAAGATCAATGTGTACATACATCACTCTCTGAAGCAGTAGTTCTCAACACTGTGTCAAACGTAAAAGTATTTGCAGTATAGGATGAAGACTTCAGTTCCAGTTCCATTGTTCTATGTACCTCCATCATTTCAACAATGCTATATATATATATAAAAGATGACTCCCTGGCCTTATACAACCAGGAGCCAAAGTACTACAGCTGGTAGGCACTCCATAGTTTGAGAACCATTGCTCTAAAATCAGAACTAGAACATTCAAGATATTATAAAAAGAAATTTCAACCATTTAGATTTTTCTTATTTGTTTTCATGAGCTGCAGCAGGGAGATAAAAAAATAAATCTTCTTACCTCTGAAGAGCCTCCTGTTGGGTTTGCTGTGCATGTCTTTGACAGGATCACCTCTGTTCAGGGAGTGGAGCAGCAGAGGATAACCTTCTGCTTCAACGCCCTGTAGAAGGAACCAGTGTCCATGTGAGGAACGGAGTCCAGTCGTACAGCTAAGGTAGCAGCTGTAGCTAGTAGATAATGACTTTGTCCCTTATAGAAATCCATAGTGCTTTCATGATGCTTAACATATAAATGTGACCTGTCCACAAAGTACAACAATGTCTAATTCTGCTTTTATACTGTATGTATATATATATGTATGTCAAAAAAAGGAGCATTTGGTGCATTCACAGTTATTGGTTCAAAACATCTTTGATCTTCCGCAGCGCAGCTGTAATCTGACAAACCAGCCAAAATGTAATGTGGGATTTAGATTAGTTATATTATTTTTGTTCAGTTGTCCCAATGGGGAAGGCGATACAGATTTTAGCAGAAAATTAATTCATTTGGATGAAGTGCGGTATATGCATATATCTGTTGTATTTGTAGTACAATTGTTCATTACTGATGAGTAATATTTACACTCATTTACTGTCGGTTACTATTCTAACACATCCACACACATCCACATCCACTAAAAAAAATACCTTTGATCAGAAAATACTGCAAATAATATTAGTTTCAAAAACCCGACATAGAAATACATTGTTATGTTTTGGTGGGAAAAATCAAAGAAGTCATCAACCTACTATGACAAGAACGTCTGGGCTGAGGTGTTTGATGGCAGCAGCAGTGCTGGCCAGTACACCATATTGTCCAGCTGCAGGAACGATCAGTGCATCCAGTCTGGGCATTTGTTCGTGGATTTCCATACCCAAGGTGCCCAGTCCTGATAGGTACGCTGCACTTTCATCTCTGGGAAAAGGCAACAAAATGGACAGAGAGGAGGAGAGGAGATGATGATGTGAAAATATAAACAGCAATTTATTAAATAATGGATCAAATATGTGTTATATTTGTCACCACAGTCATTCACATTTATATTTCTCCTTACTCCTCCATGAACAGGTATCCATTCTCTTTGGCCAGATGGCGAGCGTGGTTCTGAGAATCACGGCTGGTGTTGCCGAAGGTGATGACCATGGCGCCGTAGTCTCTGTAGATCCTGAGCCGCGGTGAAGAACAGCCGGACGGCATGATGACGAAGACGGGGATCTTCATCTCTGCTGCGTGGTGAGCAATGGCCATGGAGAAGTTACTGTCAGTGGCCACGATCACACCCTTCCTCTGCTGCTCCTGCAGGCTCACAGACACGTGCTCCGATTGATTAATAATACAATGGATACTGTAACAAGTACTTTGGTTATTTACAAAGTTTGCTGAGAAAAAAGAGTAGAAAAATGCACATATAAGCATAAATTGGGCAGTGAAATATATTGCATAATATTTAAAAAACAAATACTTCTTATAAGTGACAAGTAAATAGCAGCATATACTACAATGTGTATTGTGTTTTGTCAGTATTTAGTGTACCCCATTAATTCAACTCTTTTGTTTCACAGATGTGTTATTATAGAGGACAATTTAAATGAGTGTAGCTATATTTACAATGACAATAAAGTGTCTTCCTGTTGTATTTTTTTATGTTTTTAGTTTAATAATTCACACAGAAAAAGGCACAGAGAAGGTCAAACAACTTGCTTAGCCAACATGGCAAAACACATGGATATTAAAACTGCAACCACTTAACCTGCTAAATAAGGATTCTTCTAAAATACAGCAAGTCAGGAGTTACTTCAATAAAAATGACTGAACTATAAGATGACAGAGAGTTCTATAAAACCAATTAAATGAAGTCATGAAGTAAAAACAGCAAACAGAAACAATAAGGATGAATCTATGATAAAAAATATGAATTTAAAAGTTAAAATGGATAAAATTTGTTTTTTGAACAATTCAGAAATCATCATGCATTCCCTAACACTTACTCCTAACTGAATCTTGAACCTCAAATGACCTTATCGCTCAGTGGCATAGACATAGTGTCCCCAATAACGTCCCCACACCGCGTTGTACCTGTGTGAGGCAGGACAGCAGGTACAAGACTCCTCTCTCCTTCACAGAGCCGGTGTAGTGCAGATGATCTTTCTTCAGGTAGATCTCCATCCCATACAGTTTAGACAGTCTGGAATACTGAACGCAACAGAGAACCAATAAGAGAGCAGCTCTGTGTTTGATCTAATACGACAGAATTCAATTATAGATAGCCCAGCTATTTATGTGTACCGTGCATGGAGTTTTCTGTAATCCAGAATGGATCCTGAAGGCTGCCGCACTGATGTCCTCAAATCGAAGATACTGTTTTGGAGGTTTGGGGACCACCTGGAACTCGCTGACTCTCCGCAGTTTTGGGGGCTGCATGAGTGTAATCTCAGATTCTGCCATCACTTTAGTGACGTGACCCTTCACATCTCCATTGAGTTGTTCTTCCTCGCCAAAGTCCTTCAGGCGCTCTGGTTCAATGAGTGTGGGTCTGTAGCCCCCAGTGCCATTAATGAGGGGACCAGAACCAGGAAAAGCACCAGGATGACTGGGGCCCAGGTGCAGCTCCTCTCTGGGTAAAATGAAAGATATGTCTGGATTTGATTTACACAATTATGACCTCTAGATAGGAGGTAAATGAAAACAATGTTAATGCATAAGAAGCCACAATAAACACGGTACATTTAACTGACTCTAAAATAATAACGACTAAACCCAGTGCCAGTATTTTTTAAAATAACTGCATTTTATCATAAAATCCCTGAGTAAAACTGCGTCTGTTTTGTAGTTCTGTTCCTCTTTCGGAGTTCTGCTGCAGTTAAACACCAGCACCACAACACTGCAAAATATAACAGGATTACTGTCACTACAGATTAACACTGTCACCTACTGTAGCCGCAAAGCAGATCACAAACTGTTAACGGCTAAACGTGCGTTAGCAAACAGCCTTTCTCATCAACACCAGGAAGAAAAACACACCTGAAACTAACACGGAGCTAATGTGGGATACAAAGACCGCCAGGTGGAGCACTTTCCCAAAATGCAGTATTTGTCTTCCGTGTTGTCAACCCCGAGAAAGTCCCAGTGTGTTTAGACACATTTCCGGTCTTTTGTTTTCACTACCAACCTTTCAACCCACATTTATTTACTTGTAGGAATTTACAATTCTTAACAATTACATCCGTAACATGATGTCATATAAACATTTACACAAATGTGCTTTTAATTGGGTTGAAGTAAAAACAGACCAATAACCAGCACAGATGAGTAATAAAGTCATGTAAACTGTACCAGTACGACTGCTGCAAAGTATATTTTTCACCATTAAAATACCATTTTAAAATCGTTATTTTTAGATCTTTTTTTTTATGATAAGTGATTTTTATTTGTACTCTGACCCAGAGTTCTGCAGCAGAGAGTGTATTTTCATTAAGTTGTTACGAACATGACTCAGACCTACTGTGATTTATGAATTTGGTCGACAGAAACTGAATTATTTGTTGAGCTGGTGCAGTAACAATGTGGTTGTTTTGTTAAGCATTAAAAAAAATGCCAACTGGAGCTGGTCTTGTCTTTTTTTTCGTATTTTCCTCCTGGGAACCTGTTGTTCTCTTAAAAACAAAATGTCACAAACATCTATTTTTTTTATAGGAAGATCAAATCAACTCTTAGATTCAAAGAAAACCTCATCCCGTACCTTTTTGGATTATCCAAAATATAAACCATGTTGCACTTTAACTACCTGCACTATTTCTTTGAATCTCCTTTTTTCAGCCTTGAGGCAGATTAAAGTGTTTGGATCAGGTAGCATTTTTGTTGCCAATTGCATTGAGACAAACATGTAGATAAGTCTTCGAATATTTTTCTGAAATAGCATTCCTTTACAAGCTACTTTTTAAATACGAGAAAATGATGAAGGACATGAAAAATATTTGAATTTTTAACAAATAGAACAATTTATTCCTGGAACACAGTGGCCAAGAATCACTAAAAGATAAGTAGATGATATTGTTAATTTTCTTTTAGCTATTACCAGTTTGGAGTAGGTTGCGTTTTCGTAACTTTAGTAGATTTATATTTAAGCCCAATCCAAGTCCAAGTGTCATCGTATATTTATAGGTACACATGCTTTAGGCTACTGCAGTATAAACATCAATATTCTGGCTTCATCAATGACTTCTAGAAAATTCACACAGCCCTGATTCAGGTACAGTATATGTTGATGGACTAAAACAAATGTTGGACACGGAGTTGCCAGGCAGGAGGAAGAGAAGATTTAGGAATTAAATCAGGATAGGAAGAAGAATATATAAACAGATGACAGGAAGTCAATGACAGAGTGAAAAGAGTTGAAGGTATCTTTCACTCTGGGTAGTTGGGATTTTTCTGACTGCAGGAATGGGTTGGGAAAGGGTTGAAGTTGAAGGATTTGGGAATTTATGATTTCCCACCTTTGCCAGAAAGGATCATTCTCCTCACTGTCTTCACCCGCAGGTCTGGGTGAGTAGGATGACTCAACTAGATCGCCCAAGTAGCTGGAATAAATCAACTGTGCAGCAAAGTTCATCCTGTCCAACTGCAGTCCAACGGCCCGGGGTTTTCCTCCAGCTCCAGCTCAGATGTCCGAGGGAGAACAGGACACTGGATGTTACTTCTTCTGAATGACACCACCTCAACTGGCTCCACTCTTCCCTGAGGTTTTCACACTGAGGATTACACAGGGACGCTCTCTGTGGTTCAGGAGTATCTGTCCTTCGGCCTTGGCCACTCCCTGGTCTCTATTCCTGGAGCCAGACTAGGATTACATCCCTTTACTGTGACGTAGTGCTAATCAGACCGTCTAAGCAGATAGATGCAGACTTAGGGTTTATGTAAGGAACAGTGATCTTGTAGCTCAGCAACACTGTGATTTTGACGATGTGTTGAGGATCAGAGATGACCTGTGAGGTCACGGGGAGGACAGGTGCCAACCTGACCAACCAATCTGATTATTTTAGCCCTTATTTCTATCTTGTGTACACAGCACTTCTCGGTCATTTCTGAGTGCTCACATGTGTAATGTTGCACGACTTGCTCAGACATTTTTAACACCAACAGTTTACATGGTAACACTGTGGGGAGGAACAGACTGTCGGCCAGGTGACAGATGAGAGAGGCTTTAGGGAAAGTGGATGAAAGGGTAAGTGGCTCCAGACAGAACTCAGCAGGAGGGCTAAATGTTATCCAGCTCTGGGTGGATGGCTGGTATTGTCCCTTGTATCCCATGTAGAAATGAATGGATCTGTAATCTGATTGTTAAGGGAAAATAATAGATAATCTCTTTGGAAGAAATTCAAGGCCTTTGGTGGCCCAGGTCTTCAATCCAGGCCTTGGGTGGGCCTTAAACTCAGCCAACTCTGTTGAAACTTTTGAGGTACGTCAACATCTGCAACATCTTCTCTGTTGTTGTTTCTTCGTTGAATCTGCTTTATGTTTCCAAGTAATTATTAACTGCAATGATTGGACTTGAAGAATAAAAACGATCATGTCATGTTTCCCAACATTTCTGAACCACATACTTTATTACTTGGCGTGAAACTGCTGATACTATCGGTAAGTAAGAATGGCCATTTTAAAATAGGTTTAATACACAGAGCAGGGAAGATCAGCTGATCCTTTGTCTTAAAAGCACAGAGTGGAGTTTTGTTTCCTTTGATGGAGAAACACACACACACACACACACATGCACAAACAAAATTAGATTTAGCTTCTTTAAAAGAGACAGGAAGCCAGTGAATGCCAGGTACACAGCGAAGCCGTCTTCCTGGCAGCAACAATGTTAAGTGAGGCCCATGTTCAGGAGATGATGACTGGCAAAGACTGTGGAGACTTTCCAATGAGGCTGCTCCTCATTTTTGAAGCTTGTAAAGACAGGATTGTGATAAATACAGGCAGGTACAGAACCAGTGAGGGGACGGAGACAGATAAGGCAGGGAGTAGGTGACCCTGTTTACAACTGTCTGTTGGACCACCCACTGGTGTGGGTAATGACGACCCTTGAGCCACTGATGCCGGTGCTCTGCAGAACGTTTCTGACAGCCAGAAGGTTTAATGGGCGACAAACATTTGATGAACATTTGCATTTCATTTCCTGCTCTTTGAGTTTCAAAGTAATATATTTTATACTATATTATAATAACATTATGGGGCCAGAGTGGTGCAATGGTAGGACCCCTGCCCGCATCCCAGGTTAGGGTTCCATCAAGAAGTAACTATAAATAAATTATTATAGTATAAACAATAAGGAAAAAATAAATAAATTAAAAAATAAATTAAAAAATCCCTGCCCGCATCCCAGGTTAGGGTTCCATCAAGAAGTAACTATAAATAAATTATTATAGTATAAACAATAAGGAAAAAATAAATAAATTAAAAAATAAATTAAAAAATATTAATAAGAAAATGTCTCATTGGTTATTGAGTACTATTTGTATTTGATCTATATTTTAAAAATATAATTTGCAGTAGTAAAGTTACACTATCGTTAGAAATACATTAAATAACTAAGAATTACCATTTACTATTTATATATGCAAACTGTGTTCACCTTCCATTTATTAGGTGTATAGTATGTATATATTGTTTAAACATATTAATTATACCACATCGTAATGGCCCTCAGTATTACATCATCAGTGTAACATTAGTAGAATAAAAGCACTTCCTGGCTAGCTCCTTAGCACCCTAATAACAACAAGGTTTTTCCTCTGCCTTTTTTTCCAGCTTGCATTGATCTGCTCTTTGACTTTTATTCTACTTGTGTTTCCAGCTTCTTAACCTGTAGATCTGCTTATTGGACCTGACAGGAAAACATGAGGCTAAAGACAGACCGGCCTAATGCAGATGATCATGTTTACTATGCAAAAGCTTTGTGTGTGTGTATGGGTGAGCAAGAGGGAGAGAGAGTCAGAGGAGTGGGAATAACAGTAACCAATCAATACGTTTATAAAGGGTCGTTCTGTGCGGCTGAATTGATTTTGATTCGTCAGACTTCCTGCTGCACAGAAAGGCAGTGTGATTTTTCTCAGAAAAAGCTCCGCCGGCCTTTTAACATTCTCCTGACTGCATTGAAAAAAGCCAGGGAGTCTGACTGCAAAGTTCTCACTTGAGAGATTGTGTCTGTAATGCGAGGCAGCTTATGTCTAACACACTGTACATTGTCAAGTCCAACCTCTCTTTTTATACTGTAGTTCATTCAAAGAATCTTTTTTAGGAGTCCATCTTAACAGATATTTATTTTATAACTTAACCATCTTTCCTGTACTTTCTGTTACTTCCTGATGCCCTTACTTTCCAACTCTTTTTTATTGCACATTCTCAGCCATAGACAATAGAGTCAGCTTCTGATTAAAATTGTGCGTAAGTCCAACAACAACAACTCTGTCCAACCATCCATCTATCCATCCATCCACCTACATACCTATCTACCTGTCTACCTATAAACATACTTAGAACCAGTCTAAAGATTCATTATCAACTGTATGAGAGATACAAGAACATATATATATATATATATATGTATATATATATATATATATATTACAACAGGCAGAAATAATCAATCAATAATCAAACCATGAATATATGTTATTCATCTAACGTTATGTCAAAGCTGGAGTGATCTGTTCAGTCACTGTTATACAGCAGAACCACAGACCTCCTCAAGACAAAAACCCAACTCCCACAGAGGAACTCAAAGTTCTTTAAGAACCTTCTAACTTTCCAAACTTAACAGAAATAAATATTCATTCTGTATTTAAAATAAGGTTGTTTTATAAAAATATTAATCAAAAGTAAATTAATAGGCCAAGAATTTTCTTTTTGTAAGTTTCTACAATTCTACCAAAAGATTTTGTTTTCTTAGTGAAACATTAAAAATGTGGTCCCACTTGACTCGCATTCCACTGTAACAATTTGTCCTCGAAAAGTGCTTCACAGAGATTGCTACTTTTCGAAGCCCCTGGAGGTTTCATGAAAGTTCTCTCCTTCAAATTGTTCCCTTTCACCACTGTGTGTTTTTATGACTTCATGGTGCAAATGAAGGGGAACTCTAGGAGGGGGATAACTGAAGTCACGCTGCCGTTATCAATGCCATCTGCATCACAAAACAAACAACAGACGTAAGAACTAGATTTGAACTTTCCTCTTCTCTGCGGGCCAGTGCTGGGTCTGATATTTGAGACCCCTCCCCACCCCGGTACATCACCCAGACCTCCCCTTCCCAGATACTCAGCTTCTTGCTCTGCCACTAATGTTCCTATGAGGAAACTGGGCAGAAGACAGAGCAGGAGAGAGAAGGCACAGATTCTCACTCTTCTCTTTAAAGAATCTTAGGAAATATCTCTTTCCTTTTTTTCACACGGTCATCAGCCGTCCACCAGATGTCTCCGCTCACGATGGTCCGACCTCTGACCTCCTCCACTGGACTCCTCCTTCTGATCCTGATTGGAAATGCTGCAGCAGGTAAGAGCTGGTTCTGGTCTGACCCTGGGAGGGCAGGGTAGAAAGGTGGACAGTCCCAGGTCAGGAAGTAGGGGTCAGAGGTCACACAGCTGTGGATGAGTCTATGGACCAGTGTATTGAAGTATATTTTTGAACAGTGCGATCAAAGTGTAGCGTCAGAGGTGATATTTCTGAACTCTTCAAAGTGTGTATGTGTGTGTGTAGAGGATACCGAACACAGTTACAATTTTTTTGAGTTTTTTTTTGCCAACACATCTGTGAGTAATTTGACCTCAGCTCCACTGACACCAGATCTAATATTCTTTCAGCATAGCATCGCTCACTGTTTATTAAATAGATTTATCCGCCAGATTCACAGCTTAGCTTTGTTTACCAGCTTCAACACAGTCCAGTGGGAACTGGACAGAAATGTGTAGTGAGTGTCCAGAGCTGTGAGCGATGGCCTGTAGAGTGATTTACTCTGACTTCACTCTCCAAGAATGGCAGCGCTCAGGAAGAACACACACTCTTGCTTGTGATTGAGTAACAGCTTAAACACATCAGGTTCAGGAGATTTGAGAAAACAAAGTTCTTGTTTATGGCACAGTATGTCTGTCACAAATCGTACAGTTACTATCAGGACATGTCCAAAAAACATAAATGTGGAGTAAAATAGTCATGGCTAATATATATTTATACAGTATATATACACAACCAATCCAGGTGTAGTTTCACCTCGACATGTTGATGACGATGACCTCCAGTCTGACCTCAGACGTGTCACATGACGTTACTGTGACGTGTCCTGTTTTTATGAAGGTGTTGAGTTGGCGACGCTGATGCAGAGGGACACGTGGGACAGGTGGACACGGGTGAGACTGATCAAACACAGGTGAAGGAAGGCAGACAGCTTCAGGGAGAAGAAAAAAATAGTATTTTTAGATGAACCAACAGAAACTGAAGATGTCTGATAATAACTATCATCATCGAGACATAAAGTTAAATAAACTTATTCCCACAAACACATTGTCCAGGGTCCATTTGTAAAAAAAAGGTAATTTAGTGAAAACACATTTAAGCAGTTATCTAAAGTAACAGAATGGGATTTTCCAAAAATAATAATTCTGTTATTTGTTATTCTGGTATTCTGTTATTAAAGTAAACATTTTGTGTTGTTCTTATTATTCTGAACATCCTTGTGGCGTGATTGAATGGGTCACCACCACACTGTTCCCATTATAATTTTTTTAAGACTTAGCCTCCATGTTCCCGTGCCAAAGTATGATAAACATTGTATTTTATAGCACAGCTGTGACCTGAACTAACTCTGTCCTGCAGAAGTCAATGGAGCGCTGCCCATATAGTACTGTACCTGAGGAAATGCACTCAAATTTAAAATACACTCACGGTGTTCGGCCGAATGATCAAGCCGTGATATTTTTGTTTTCAGTTGAGTTTTTTAAAGCAGACTGAAACAGACTCACAACAGAAGCACTGGCTGACTTCAGAGGGAAGGACAGCTGCTAGTCACTGGTTTTATGTGGATATAAAAACCATTATGACATTATTTCTGGCTGAAGATTTTTGCCGTTAGCTGAAAACAAACAAAACAAATGTCTCGCAGTTAGTCCTACAGTTTACAAAGAAAAATAAGTTGACTGAAGCTAGAAGAATGAAAAAAAAAACACTCGGCCAACTATTATAGCAAAATAGTTATCTTACTGTAGATATAAACACAAATGCTAACATTGATGCAGAGAAATAAAAGTGGTGAAAATAAAGTGATGTCGCTTAAAAATAGTCAAGTAAATCAAATGAAACACAGAAAAGGATCAGTAAAAATATTTCTGTACAATGTTTAACTAAATACTAGCTAAAAACAAATTTATATTAAAAAATGTAATTCAATTATGTTTGAAAACTTTAACAAAAAAGGTTAACAAAACTATTGACCCCTCATCCCATACTGTAAAAGAACAGGTGGCTAACAACTATAGCTTAGCATCGGTAAAGATAGGGTTGGTCCAAACTTTAAAATAAATATTCTAGACCCTGTGTTTTGCAGAGTTGCGATCCTTCATATTTGAAGCAGCGGAAGCTCTGCCAGGTCTTTATGTTTTTGAGCGCCCCCTGCTGACCTCCACCTTTGTCTTACGTCTGCATCCTGCATGCAGCGATGCCTGGCTCCCCTCCAGCCCAAGTAATGGAGCTTGTAAAAATGTTTCCGTGGGATATCGCCGCAAAATCAGGGCGGTCTGATGCTGAGGCAGGGCTGCACGTGTGAGGACAATGTGCAGAGGCAGATATGAGGAGCCTTTCTGGCTCATTCTGCTGTTTGTTGCTCAAGAAACAATTGGGCCCATGGATGGACTTTGTAACCGGGTCTGATTCCACTCACAGAGGTAACATTTATAAAGTGAAAATAGGGAATACTGCTGTACATCATGTGTGAACATTGTGAAATTAGGTGTGCTGAGTTAAACCAGGCCCGGTCTGTGTTTACTGTGCAGCAGAAAGCATGCCAGGTGTTTCTGTCTGCAGAATCAGATTTCCAGACGCTTGCCCATGTGAAACTCTGCTTTCCAAAAAGGGAAACAGCCTGGAGGGAAGTAACAAACAGCTGTGAGGGTGAAGGAAAGGCTACAGACACAAATGTAAAGCTTGAATTATTTTTTACTGTTTTTGAACAATGATCCAAACTGATCAGATGTATTAGTTAAGGATAGTCTGATATATTTATTTTTTGCCGATATCCGATATGCTGATATTGTCCAAACACTTATTTTCCGATACCAATATCAACCGATACTAATATAACAGGAAGTGGTGGCCCGGTGGTTAGGGAACTTACATGCCGCTTGCTCACTAAGGTGATTGGTTAAAGCAGTGTTGCTCAGTTATTTTCTGCCATGCCCCCTCTAGGGAACAGACGTTTTTTACCCCCCCCCCCAAATATTTATTTATTTATCTGAGTTGCTGGCACCAGGATTCTGTATGCAATCCCCTGATTATTAAAATAGATTAATAAAAAGAGTTGCAATGCTGCCATCCAGTGGCTTTAACTTTCATATACAGCAGTTTTCCCCCAAAACGGGGCACATATCATTTGGCAAAAACCAGGCATTGCTTTATCAGGTTTTCATTATCGGAGGAAAAACCGATAATGATATTATCATTATCGGTTATTAATGATTATTTAAGTCCAAAAAAAGGTTGAGTCAGGATCAAACAGTGTTTCGTACACGTTTTCAAGTTATTTGAACTAGAAACTACTACTAAACGACCTCGGTCTGCGGACCAACAACACTTACAACAACACCCTCAGATCAATTATGTTCAGTAGCAACAACAAGATGCAGTGTCGGAGTAATAACACTGCTGTCAGCCTCTAGTTAACAAATAAGACGTTTACACCATCGTGAAGTTCAAACAACACTGCTGATCTCAGTTTGGATCTCGGTCTCTCAGGAGCCGATCATAAAGCAGAGGCCGAGCTCAGACCTCGGCTGAAACGAGTCTCTTTCAAAGGAAAGACGTAATGGGAAACATGAGTGAGTCTGCAGCTGCTCCTCCTTCACTGCTGGAGGAAGTCAGACTCCACAACACCGAGGAGGGTCACTGTGGCGCTCTAATGAGAACGATATCACAGCCGCCCTGAGATGAGAAGCCCAAAGAATGGTGATAAAGAAAAGAGGAGAAAACGCTGCAGAGCAGATGTGGAGCGTCGCCGTGTTTAATCACAGCAGTGATTTCAGGCACGACTACAGCCATTGTTATTATTCTTTAGAAACGTTGAAGCACATTTTAATACTTTTTTATTGGGTCACATGGCACAGAAAATGATTTAGGAGATTTTAATCAAATCTTGTTCTTTCAACTGTCAAAGAAGTCTGTGCAGAAAAGTTTTGACTCAGACCACCTAGTCCAACCATCAAGACCCTCTTAAAGACCTCTTAAATGAGCCTCAGCCTCTCAAGACCCTTCACTGTTTTTTGATACAGATCCTGACCACTGCAGACCAGACGACACACCAATAATGCTGCAGATTTAGTGACAGGCCGACCCGCTCATCTAACCATCACAGTTTGGATCACGTCAAATCTGTTTAATTTCTTACCATCTCTAATTTTCATGCTTGTGACGCCTCGGCTCTGAAGACAAAATTTTCACTTGGCGCGGTGATATGTCCCGCCCACGGACAGGTGCCATGATAAAGAGATAATCATTGTTATTCACTTCACCTGTCAGTGGGTTTAATGGTATGGCTGATCATGCATTCAAAAATACCCTGTAAAAGTTTTATATGACAGCCTCTTGGTGAAAACGTGTGATTTCTACTGTTTTCGAATCAGATCGAATGCTTCATTCTCAGCTATGACACATTTATTTATGGATTGTGTTTTTCAGGTCCTGAGCCTGACTTGCGGCCCCGGGCGGTGCGTTCAAGTGTGTGTCAAGAGCACACAAATCTTCACAACCGGCTGGATGTGGTGGAGAAGGTTAGGGTTAAAAAAATACCTCACCCTACACTCTTAGTTGGTGTTTCTCTAAAGCCTATGTTGTCGAAATGGAGTTTTATTCTCAGTTTTTACCTGGGAATGAGAGGGAAACACGGCCATGACTGTTCCAAACTGTCTTCAATCTGAGCAGTTGGTTGAATATTTTAAATTGCTTCTGTAACAAAGACAGATAACTGATGCCAAACCTGAGTCAGAAATGACTGGCTAAAAATCTAGCAAAAATATTAAAATACAAAACATATTTTGCGACCAAAGTTTCTGTCGTTGTCTCCTGCAGAATGTGGAGAACACTGTTAAAACATTGGAGGTTGAGCTGGCTGCTCTTCTGGAAGCCGTAGAAGCTCCAAAGTGGCGCCCTCTATTGGAAAATGCTGGGAAGAGAGAAGTGGACATCCTGGATGAACCACAGGAGAGGGCCCAGAACTGAAGTGATCAATACTCCGTAGATAAAGGGACTCATCAGGGTGTGTGACTTGGACGGTGGATATTTTGTTTTTATTTCTGTGATTCACAAGCTGCAAGAAAAATGCATTTCTGTATCAAAATAATGTTTTTATGGAACAAAGAATACATTTCTGTCTAAAGCTGTGTTTTTTATATTACACTTTTATAAAGGCCAATTGCACAATAAGTGAATTATTTGTCATTATGACACAACCAAATGTGACCTTTGCTTTTAACCCATCACCAAAGTCAGCAGGGGGCAGTGTGAGCGGACGGTGCCATGCTAACTTGGCAGCTGGTGGACTCGAACCTGAAACCTTCCCAAGTCTGCTTCCTCAAACCAAGCCAACACTGCCCAATAATATCTAATTTACTGTAGCTCATGGTTGCCTCCTGCTGTTCACCGATGCACCATGCATGTCTTTGAAGCTTCCAGGTAACTAGGTAGTTTTATTTTCTTTAAAGAAGGTCACAGTTGGGCAACTGGACTGGCTAAGGGTTCTTGATGGTTCTACTCTTTTTGAAGAGGCCTCTTCAGAACAGGACTGAAGAACTCTCCTGGATGAAAGGTTTGGAGAGTCCAGACTTCAAGCCCTGAGACAGTGGTGCACTACTAAACTACAGTCTGAGTGAAACAACTCCCACACACACGCCCATATAAAATTACTGGAAGGATTTTTATTCCTTTTACAAAGCGGTTGAAGCAGCATGTTTTAAACATACAGAACATTTTCAGTTGGTACAGGGACAAGGCTTTTCACAGGATTCCCTGTAAAATTTCAAATCCTACAGCACAGCAACGTTATGCAACTATAGGATCACAAGGCAGGAGAGAGTGAAATGAATCACACGGGTCTCCGATGAGTTTCTCTCGGCAGAGTTTCAAGCCGTGTCTACAGAGGCTCCATATCTACACGATGGTCTGGCGTGAGAGCGTCCATCAGAGGAGACATGCTGACGCTGGCCAAACACTAGCACAAACGCCTTTTGTTAATTAACACCTAACAGCATTCAGAACATGAACACATTAAAACAGGAAGGTTTGCAGGCATAGTCCAAACAGTACTGATCATTGATATCAAAGAACCAAAATGATAGATTATCTATGTACAGATGATCTTACGGCACCGTTCCAAACCTAAGTCTGATGGTGTGTGTGGTCTTAGAAATAAATGAGGCGTCCTTAGACACATTCATTGTTCTTTGAAAGCAGCAAAAAAAAGCCCCGACAAGTGGTTCAATTTTTTTTAAATGTTCTGCCTGCGCTGCACAGAACATATTGCGACTGAGCTTCACACACACCAGCCTGGACGACTCACACAGCCGGGGTAGGAGTCAGTACGGGCGACCTAAAGACTAATTCAGGAAGCCATATCTTAAAATATCATGCCACCCGTGTATCACTGGGAATATATGCTTTTGTACACTTTTAATATTACACGACTCACTGTCCAGAAACAGGGAGTAATCCTCACTGATATACAGTACCGACTTGCACTGTCGAGTATCGAGGTATACTTTCCAGAAGCTTCCGCATGCATGATTAACCAGTAAGGCTCAAGCTCAGAGGATTTGGCAAAAAACAGGCGTATACTATCAAGGTACATGCAAAAGCTGGACAGTGTTAAACTGATCATACTGTATAGTTTGGCAAACTTGGAAGATGCCACTTTAACAGAATATACGATAATCCTATCATGATGAATGATGGTCACAGAAACAGAGAGGCATTCTGGGAATTGGTGCTCTGCTCAGATGAGAAGATTCTTACCACCAGTGACATGACAAGTTCAACAGGTGTGTACTGTGGAGGTACCAGCCCAGAGACTAATGTTCTGTTTCTCACCTATTATTGGGCACATCATTATTGGGTTGCAACAAGTAACTGTGTAGTACTGCAGTAGGCCAAAAACTGGGAAAGAATTGTGTTCTTCTTAAAAAAAATTCATTATATCTTTGTCAAGCTTTGAGCTGTTTGGGTTTTTTTCATCATTTAATTTTTTATTTTCTTTTTACGTCTGAAGCAAAACATCAAATTTTCAACCAAATCTGAATAAAAGCCAGTTAAATCCAGTTTCATCCAGCTCCATCTTTTTTGTTTTTTTAAACCGAAAAAAAAAACCAACAAAAAAACAACAACCTAAAACTGAAAACCTTTGTATTGTATTGTATGGAGAGCAATATATTGAGATTTTAAAAATAAAGATGTGTTTTTGTGTTGGAACATTTTGACTTATTTCTTGCAGTAGTTTGGAGTCCAGGTTTGACTGGAGCATCAAGTCAGACCTGGACTCTACTGCAAGTGAGGTGACAAATTTGGTACTACTTTGGTTACTTTATTTTATTTTCTGACATCCTTTTTGTCAGAATATCACCTCTCAGCTGCAGCTCCACATCGTGGCAGTGGTGGTATCAATCTTTTCACTTTTTTGTCAAGATAAACAAAAAAAGAACACACTTCACCTAAAGGATACGCTTTTTACATAAGCACAATATGATTGTATAAATGATTCGTTTTTTTCACTGGCTGAAGGAATCCTGACTTTATGACATACATTCACACACTGGAAGGTCCTTAGAAATGGTTATGCAAATGGTAGAAAAGCTTTGGCATATTCTGCCTACAAGTTGTGCCTGCACACTTGGAAAACAAAAAACAAAAACAAAAGGAGGAGTGGAGTGAAGCGGTGCACAGCTTCACGCGGCTCTTCCTCTGGGTTACATGTTCAGTTTGCAGTCCCACATAAAACTGTGGTGAGTTTATTTACCTACACTCTATGCTATATACATGGTGTTATTCTTATTAGGGATTTTGGGGGGTGGGGGAGAAGGGGGTCATGGTGGACTTTTGCTACTTGTTCCCAGGTATTCAGACTGAGACCGATGGTGCCACCTTCACTGTCACACGATCTTATCAACTGTTCTGTTTTATGTCTATAGTATTAACAGGACGCAGCTACACATTGATGTGAAGCGCCAAAAAATAAACTTCACTCTGAGACTTTTTGTTCTTCAGAAAACAAAAAGGAGTGATGATGTTTTTAAGGAGTGCTCTCTAATTCACCATGAAATGATGTGACTGGGGATTATCTCCACTCATTTCACACAGCAGAGTCTGACGTTCCTACAGGGGGCTAAACTTCTGTGTTCCATTATAACTACAGAAATAGTGATGAGCAGATCCTTTTATAGTGATTTTTACAAAATCCCAGTAAAATGGAACTCTCAGGGTAACCGTACGTGGGATTAAAAAAACAAACAAAGAACTATGAAATGATAATCTCCTACGTTAATTTAGTAGACAACTGAGGACGTGCCCATCTGCTGCTATGCTGGCCCACACCAGCAGTTTCCAAATTTGTTTGCAAAATGCAACATTGTATTAGTCACATTTTCCACTGAAGAAATGATGATTGGAATTGTTTTTTTCTTTTTTTCCTATTTTCTTTCTTTCCAACTTTCTGACACTCTGAACCAAGTACAACAATATTTTTTCAACCACATCCAGGGCATATATCACAACTTCAGTTCATACTATACCAGGGAAGGGGAGCTACATGCTCTGCAAATGACAACACTAAATCCAAAAATACTGCTCTCCCTTCAAAATAAAACAATAAAAAAGGAAAGAAAAAAATCAAATAAGCATTCTTACCCATAATGCATCCACTGCTACACAGGTAATAGCTAACACCAATTATGTATCATTGCCAGGCACCACTTTAACCAACCATAAACAAGCCACAATGTTTTGGCAAACTCAACTGAATTGGTATTTTTAAAATGCCTTTCAAAAGCTGGAGGAAAAAAAATAGAGGAAAACAGTTTTCCTGAACCAGTCAACATGTTACATGTTACATGTTACATGTTACAGGATAATTGTGATGAATAATTCAGTCCTTCTCATCATATTTTGAAAGGGGAGGCGTGGCCATTGAACCACCCAGCCTGCAGGAAGCCTGCACCGCTCTTGCTCCCAGTGTCATCATGCTCACAAACAACACCTACTCAGAAGAGAAACCTTATTTATCATGCTGTACTATAACGTTGCATAGAAGTTAGAGTTTACCCTGGAGGGAGGGGTGAATACACTAGGTGGGGGCTCTCAGGAATTCTGCTCCATTCATGCCTTATTGGAAGGATGCTACAAAACATAAGGATGAAGGAAATGCCGGGAGCCACGTCAGGTCCTGCTGTGCATTTCCTCCACGCTGAGCTACAATAGAAGGAGAAAGGTGAGACTGTAACTACTGCTATGGCACTAACACTGCAGTGGCCAGAGAGACCCGCAATGGTCACTGTGAGGAGTTGTGGCGCTAGCAGCTGCTGGGGGACGAACACACCGAGCCGCACATGCTCAGTTTGGAGGAGGACTCTGGTTCGGCTTCAGTTCCCGCTTCAGCTTCTGGCTCAGCTGCATCGTCATCCGTGGCCCCGGCTTCGGCTTCTCCATCCCCGTCTCCACTGGCGTCATCGGCCCCCGCCTCCGTTTGTCCCTCTTCCTGACGCTTTTTTAACCTGAGTCCGCAAATCACAAAAAAACAAATTTACATATTCAAGCTTTACAACAGCTGGACTGCAGATATAAAACAACTAGAACTTTGTCTTCCCTCCAGGGGTCACTAACCCAACTCCTGCCTCCTCTACTGTAACAACCATCACTACGTCCTCCATCACTACATTCATAAATCATGTCTGGGCTCTTCCTCCCTCCCTCCTGCCTGGCAGCTCTGACTCCTGCATCCTTTGTTGGATACAGTATATTTTTCACATGTCCAAACCACCGCAACCTCGGCTCTCAAACTAAAACTGAAAAAACAAAACAAACAAACAAAAAAAACAAAAAAAAAAAAACAAGAACAGCAATCATAACATGGCAAACCGTCTGTTAGAAGAGAGATATTCATCCCTACAAACAATCTGAAGTGACTGTTTACTTTAGTGTTACATCTAGGTTTCTTATTTAATTTTCTGTATATCTACATCCACTTCCTTCCCTAAGAATCTGTAGCGTATGGTTTTGACAGTATCTCTGCTCTGCATAATTCCATGTATTTCACCACTTCAATTATAAATAGTGCACACCCGTTAATTAGAGAACTGTGATATAATAAGACTTTGATTCCAGACTCCAGCAATGCTGCGGCAGAGGCAGGAAAGGGTTAATAATGAATGAGGAAATGATATAACTGATATTTCCTCATTTAAAATAGAGCAGCGACAGAGCGATGCCTATGAATTATGGCTGTTATATCTTGACATGTCAGCCGTGAAAAAAAAGAAAGTGTTTTCAGTGTGTACTAATTGAAGTAGAAATGTTCATCATTTTGAGTTGAGCTTTCTGTATTTTCTGAACCATAGGTTGCACTTTTTTTTAATCCTTTGGTTTGAAAAAAATCTGCGACTTATACCCAGCTGCGACTTATTGCGATATATTAAAATATACAAGTTCACGTCTGTTATTTTCACACTGAATATTAAAATAAGTTCACGTCTGTTATTTTCACACTGACAGCCAGTAGAGGGCACTCTAGACTCCTGTACCAGTATCTGCTACTCTTGTACTACTGAAAATTTACATGTTCGTTTTTTTTTCACACTGACAGCCACTAGAGGGCTCTGGTGCAACTTATCCTCCAGAGTGACTTACACATGTTATTTTCTTCTTCATTATGCATTTCTTGGCTAGTGCGACTTATAGTCCGGAGAATACGTGGGTTTTTTTGTTGTTGTACTTTTTCATTTTTATTCCAGCAAGTTTTGACACCTCTTAACAGTTCTTGAAGTCTTTTTATTATATTATTTATCTTACAACAGGCTGTGGCAGTTACAGCAGGAAGACGTCCAAAAACATGAAGGGTTGAAGTAACTGTTCACTCCAAACTGACCAGAGAATTGCATGTGAGTGGTTGTTCGGTAAGTCTGGTGGTCAGACGATGAAAATGCTGACTACATTTGATTTTATTTGGAGGTAAATTAGACAAAGTTTCTCAGAGATTTCAGCTGATGTTCCTTGTATTCTCACCTCTCCCGGTTGAAGATCATGAACTCTTGCTGGACCACTTCAAGGCACTCCTGTAAGTAGTCGTTCTCCTGAATGCAACAGATCAAACACCATCGTTAACATCACGTCCCTGATTTTACGACACACTATAAAAACACACGTAAAGATTTAGGAGTTAAATAAAAGGTACAGCCTCACGCTCTTGGTTTTTTCTCTTCGTTTTTGTCTGTTGCTCTTTGCAAAACAAGTCGCCGATTGTTTGCCAGACCTCCTCAAATTGGACGTTTGGCCCGAGACAAAAATAGAATCTCATATTTCCAAAAGCACTTGAGGCCATGACAACAGCACTGAAGGCTTCATAATTTAATCATCTGTGTAATAACGCAATGCGAGCAGAGAGCAAAGAGCAGACAGAGCATGTAGACACGGGCACACACACACACACACACACACACACACACACACACAGTTTTCAGAACACTGTAAATGTAAGAGGTATACAATCCTCAACTTACATCTCTCCCCAAAACACACACACACACACACACACACACACACACACAGACTTGCTGATAACGCTGATGTCTGATGGGAACAGACTATTTCTCATAAATACAGAGAAGGATTGTCCTGTCAGTAGTAAATTATTTATTAATCATCACAAAACAAAGCAGAGGAGACAAAGAGACTCCGTTTCTGTGCCTGTGGACACACACACACACACACACACACCAGGATGGCCCATCTTCTCATCTGTGTTAAAATACAAATAACAGAACTCACTTACACTTTGACGTGTATTTTAGCAGCCTTTACGGCATTGGCACGATATTTATTTTGATTATTTATGACCTGGAGCCTGAGGTTCTGCCTTCTAAGATGATACCAGTAAGTACCAGTGAGTCATTACACCGACTTTAGGGAGATGAACACACCAGCATGTTGACGGCACATGTTAAACTCAACCCTCTAATATGTGGATAGAATGGTTTAGCTTTAAAGGTTAGCTTCAGTTTCAAACTGTGATGACATGATGATGTAACGACACAGAGTCAGCGCCGCCATTAAACACAATGGGATAACGCTTAGTAACTGAGAGACAGTAAATCTCTCACTCGTCCACACAATGGACAAAATCAATGTTTTTAACTCAGGGAGACTCAACTGAATTGAACACACTTGGAGGTTAAACCGATGGCTGCCACTGATCACTCTGACGGTTCTGCTCTGAGAGGGACCTGTTTTGTTGTTTTGTACTTCGCTTCCAGACACAAAGCCTCCGGACACACACACATACAACTGCACCGTGGGTTGCATGTTGCTAGGCTACAGAGTGTGTGGCATTCTTGGTCTGTCATGTGTACGAATTTCAGATTAGTCACCAAATGGGATTCTCTCTCTGTTTCACTCAGTATATTTAAATGAACTCAGACTGGGCCACTCTGGGGTTACATCTGGGCCAAATGAGGCCCACAAGCCTCAATTTTAGCCACCTGAGCTAGCAATTTATAAATCTACACAAACTAACTTGGCTTCAAATTACTTTACATAACAGTAATTGGCAGGAAATAAATTTAAAAAAAATCATGAAATACTGTCATGAAGTACTATTCAATAGTGTGACTGAACTTGACAAAATTAAAAAACTAAAAATGGAAATGATTTTCTGGTGAAGTTAGCCAATTCAAGTGCTCGGGGTATTTACGGGACACTTGCAGCTCATTTGCTGGAGCAGGAAGTCTCTCAGACAGAGTGTTGTTCATTCTCAGCTGGGAAGGGCTGAGGAAAAGCAGATGCTGGGATTTGGCTCAGCACCAGTCTAAAAATACGCTGTTTTGATGGGAACTGACAGACGGGGGTAAACCTGAGTTGCATTGTTATCCTGAAGTGTGTTATATCTGAGTAATCCTCCTGTGCTGCAGATAATGATGAACTCAGAGGCGGGTGTTTGTGTGAATGCGTGTGTGTGTACATGATTGTAATTTGCTTTCAGCACTTATATAATAATAAAAAAAAAATTAAAAGCTGAAATTGTTGGCAGAGGAAAACAAACTTTAAATAAACAAGATATCTTGTTGAAAAGTAGACGGAGTAGACACTTCCATCATCAGAGTGAAAAAAAGAAGTAATTCAGCAACATGTTAACTTTTGTTGTTTTCTTTGCAGCTGGTCCAATGTGATAATTTGAATACAATATTATATATAAAAAAATCTTTTTTCTGTGGAGTTTAAAAGATGGTGCAGATTTGATCGAGCTGACCTTAGAGTTTAGGAAAAAAGTTTTTGGAAAAGGATGATAATCCAGGTGGTATAATGTCTACTGCATACTACCGTGGTGACAGTCTGTTGCAGTGTACATATTCTCTCTCTACCCACCTTTCTGATAAGTCCTAATCTGATCAGGACTGATCAGAATCACAGTTATTAGTGATTATTCAAGATAATTAAACATTAATCATGTTTCTGTACATTGCTGGAACAGAAAGACAAACAACAGCAATACTAAAAAAAAAACAAACAAAAAAAAATCCCGCCAAGTCATCTTTAGTGACCTGCAGGAGCTTTAAAAGCATTTAATAAGGTCCATGCAGCAGAGTTTCTTAACCTGATAAATAAAAAGTTGTTTTTCTTACACAGCAAGGGGAGCTGTATTGCTGACGTGACCCCGGTGAAAATGAGTTTGACACCCTGTCTCAGTGGATAACAACCTAAGTCAGAATATGAATAGATGTGTGAACATCAGTTCAACACTCCTGAATATCAGCACTCTGCTTTTTCCTTTCATAAACCCTTCACCAAGAAGCCAGTCTAGAAAGAGGCGGGGAACACTCAACAATGTCAAATACTTGGTGGCGCTGTTTTACATTCAGCACCTTTCAATTAGACCTCAGCTTGGTTCTAATATCTAAACTATTCTGGTGTGAGGTGATGTAACAGACAGTCGAGCTGAGTTCACTCACAGACTGTGAATCCTTGCTGTTGTCTCGCGAGCGGTTCTTGGCCAACCTCTTCTTCTTCTTGTGCAGGGGACGAGACTCCAGGATCATTTCCTCTAGCTCAAAGGTGGGGTCGCAGTGGAGGCGACCTTTCTGTTGGGGGATGATAATAAGAGCAGATACTCATAAATAAGGCAGCGTGTACACAGAGCAGTCACAAATGTAATGAGGATAATTAAAGCAATAGAGCAAACATACTGCACACTCACTCTCTATCACTAACACACACACACACACACACACACACACACTGTGGGCTTGTGTACAGATCATAGTAAGAGACCATTAAGAAGCTGCATTCCATTTTCTTTGCATTATTCAGTTGCTACACTACACTCTAATTACGACAGAAGAAAGTGCCTGTGCGAGTGTTTATAGTGCAAGTATACAATATGCATGTGTGTGTTTGTGAGGCTGTGTCGACAGTCGTTATTCTCTCTAAACACAGTTCATCACAAGCTTCGAGTGGACCGCCGTATTGTTCTGCACCAGTTCAGACGGACGGTCGTTCACCTCCCTGACCCCTAACCTCCACCTGGTTGGTCTGGACACCCAGATAGTGCATGATGTCATTCATTATTAAGAAAAGCTATAAATAATCCATAAAAGGTTATAACATAGAGAATAACAGGGTTTGTTAGCACAATTAGCATAACAAAGCTAAGTTGGGCTTAATATGTTTTACTAACTATAATGTGGTCAATATGATGTTCACCTGACTTTGGAGACACAATAGTCAATGATGGTGAAGGTGAAGGTTATTACAAAAGTACTTTGCAGTATTTAAAGTATTGTGTATAATAGATGTTTTATTTAAGTCTTTTCAGATGGAGGTTTTAGAGATGTAGTAGTGAAAATGAAAGATTTTTTTTGGGCTGCTCAAGGACTTCAATTTCACAATTCAAGGGTTTCCCTTCTAAAACTCCAGAGTAAAAAGACATTGTGTCTGACTGGACCACTGAACCGTGTCCATGGACAAACTGAGAGAGAAGCTGTTTATGTTGATGTGAGGAGATAGGAAGAAAACAGCAACAAACAAATGTCAAAAGTCTCTCTGAACATCTCTGCGTGTGTGCTGATGTGTGTTCTGGTGAAGATGTGAACTGACATTGGGGACAAATCCAGCCTCCATCTTCTTTTCATTAACAGCATCCCAGTTGATGTCAGCGAGGTAGGGAGATGTCTGCATGTCAGACAGACTGGAGAAACGGTGCTCTGGGTTCACCGTCAGCAGCTAGAACACACACACACACACACACACACACACACACACACACACACAGACACACAGACAGCAACGTCACTTACATCATGTCACCTTGTAAGAAGCGGTTATATCACCTTCGCAGCTCTTGTCATCACTCACAGACTCTTCTCTGTTCAAGGTGGTAAAATAAAGATGAATTGTCATTAAGGCCTGGGCTCTTTTTGCTTTTACTCTGGATTTTAACAGGACTCTGGTTTGGCTTGGAATAGATAACACTGCAAACAATTTCCTTTTTAATTAACAAAACACAAAAAATCTGTTTTTAAAAAAGTGTATAAAACTTAAATAAAACTCAAAATAAAGTCGAATTCGGACAATGTTGTAGAAACAGTACTTACAGTACCCATCTTTGTATTTACTCTTTGTGAACTAGAACTAGAGTTTATTGATAAATAATCATCTCATCAGGTTTGTTGCAGAAATAAGATCGTGCGCGTGGCAGAACTTTTTGTAGGAATGCTATCTATTGTATTTTCATTTTTAGCGACATGCTAACATGCTAACGGACTGGCCCAGGTCTCTCCTGCAGAGCTGGTAAATCTGTCAGACGTTGTAATTGATGAGCAGCAGAGTGGAAGAGACCAACGTTCGGTCCAGAATTCTCTGTTACACACGCACACACATGCTGACACGTTAGACTCTGCCAAAAAAAAAAACCAAAAAACCCAAAACATTGTTTCTCATGTTGTTAGACTCTGCCAAAAAAAACCAAAAAAAAAAAAACCCAAAACATTGTTTCTCATGTGAACAATTCCACTACTGGACCGTGCGTTTATTTGACCGTGTTGTTGACTGTGAACAGAATGTTGGAAAAACAAGGAGGAAGGCAGTTGTGATCTGAGAGTAAAAAAAAGAGAGATTTAGGAACAGAATTACTTCCACGTGACAAAACACAAGCACTCTCAGGTTTCATCACTGAGATTGCCATCTGTCATTTTCTTTTCTCTTGCAGCTAGGGGGCTCAGCTCCTCCACTCTCCCCTCTACCTGCGTCCCCAGCTGCTCTGGCTGCTTCTTTAACTTAACCAATGGGCCACACAGGAGAACTGGGCCACAAAGAAAACACAAGTAGCATTATATTTGCATTTCGTAGATGTGTAAAGAAAAGTTCATTTTTAATAATTATTATCGATGCTTTAGCCGTCGCTATTGAGATTCAGGCTCTGGATAAGCACCGAAACCTATTTTTACAAACTGTACGCTGCGTAACAAATGGTAACCTCAGCTGACTTGGTGATTTTGTTGCTGATCTGGACATCCAAATATAGAGGAAATCTCAAGGAAATCTTTAATTTGATTCTTTTTGTCAAGATTTGTTCAGTGAGCACACCCAGTGAGTGCTCCCCCTGCCTCACCTTCCTCAGCAGAGAAACCAGGTCCTTGGGCCAGGCTGGACTGTACTGCACACTGACTGTGCTGAAGAGCTGGATCAAAGACTCCACTGAGTTACTGGAATGGATGTCGTAGGGCCTCTGGCATGGAAGAGTAAAACGGGAGAACACAGGGGAATGCATTCAGGCACTTTTTAAGCAATTTGCAACAGTTTCGAATTATATCGTCTTGGCATCATTCTTTACCCATCCACGCAGCACTTCAAAGATTGTCACCCCTAGTGACCACCAGTCGACTTCAAAGGCGTAGCCCGTTCCTCCGTTTACAAAGGAATGGAAAATCTCTGGGGCTGAAAGCAAGAACAGAGAACGTCTGTTGGTACGAAGAAAAACAAACTTTTTTGCATATGAGATAATCATAATGGTGTTTTACAAACAGTCTGAGGAATGTTGTGTAATTACGACACTTTTCTGTATTTACTATTATAAGACCAGGCTCTGGAACTGTGTTACATGCCGTCACAACACACTCAGGATTCCAGTCAGGTGTCTTCTTATAGAATATTCCTGTGAAATATATTACATTTGTACCCATGTAAGGTTTGGTTCCAGCCAGGGCAGTGGCTCGTTCTCCGTCCTTTATTATTGTTGCGATGTTAAAGTCTGTCAAGTGAGCGTGACCTGGGGAGACAAACGGAACGAAACCCGACGTGAACATCTCAATACAGGACCGACAACAAAACATGACCTCTGTAGATGGATCAATGTGTGTGTCTGTGTGTGTGTGTGTTATTGGCATGTATCTGAGGTCGACTCCTCTGACCTTCTTACTATTCTCACCCGTGTCAGCATTTTATGCATATCATGTTTCATGGAGTCTCAGTGCTATTTGTACATAATCCGCACAGTTGGTGATGTTTACAGGAAGCTACAGCAGAAACCACTGGTGTTAACTAGGAGGGAAAATCCATCGAATTAACAAATGCTAATGGCTGGAGGAAAAATAACAAAGTCGAGCAAGTCAGTATGATGCTGAAAACAGAAACATAATTTGAAATAAAAAAAAAGTCATAATAGGTCGTAGGAAAATATTATTTATGTATGGTACGGGATATTTTTCTCAACATTCACACACTTCTTAAAATGGCTTATTTAACTATTTAGATTTATGCCAGACATGACTGTCTGACAATATTGTTCTTTAAAAACAATTCATTAGTAACTTATTAAATAAGGTGAAAATGTGAATCATAATCATAAGTAAAAGATAATTGTACAATCTAACATTTTTAAATGACTCTTCAACAAACTAAGTTTTCCTTACCTCTCTCATCCAGAAGGATGTTGTCTGGCTTGACGTCTCTACAAAAGACAAAGCATGCAGTCAGTTACTGTAACAATACTTGTCACCAAGTGATGATAAACAGAGTTACAGAACAGGTGTGCCGTAGTTTGGCTGAAACTGAAACAGACAGAAGTAGAAAAGTAGGACATTTTCATGGGATCTGTCTCAGACATTATCCCTGAGCTCTTTTTAAAACGACCTTTGACAGGTCAAAGTTGAAAAATGGCACATCAGTCTTGAGGACATGTGGACCTAATTTGTTATCAAGGTTTTTTCCTTGTCCTTGAATAACCATTACAGGATAATATTTCTGAATTCCAGGTTAAGTTCTGTGATCACATCAGACGAGAACAGCAGTGTTAAAAAGGCAAACAGATAAATTCCAATGACAATTCTTCCTATTTACTATACACACTGGTTGGTTGGCCACAACTGTCCTAAAATTGAACGGGGGCCAGGTCAGGAGCACAGAGATGGAGCGTTCGTGTGAATTAAGATAAATTACATGCATAAATGCTAAAATCATTTTTTATGCCATCTATTGCGGAAACGTGTATTGCAGGGAAAAGGCAGAAGTATATAGATAATGTAAATAAATTATATAATTTGGAGAAGTTTAAAAAGCTGAGCCTTAGTTTGCTCTTCCACTCAGTAGAACACTGATCGGGCATGAATGGTGTGTTTGGATGTGAAAGGGTGGAGGAGGTGTCGGTAGAATGATGTATGTGTGAATTACATGTTGGTGCAACATGTTGTGCATGTGTCAGTGGGAGAAGATGAAGAGGGAGAATAACTCTCCTTCCCTGTATTTCCAACATCGCCTGAGAGCATGTGAACACAACCCAAACCAAAGTCCCTGCAGGCTCCTGGTCTCACATACATTTCACACTGCATGCAACTGACACATTAAAACACACGCTTTCAACCATCCACATTCTCACTCTCACACACACACACACACACACACACACACATACTGTACGCTCCAACACTCCTGGAAGACCTCCACAGGCTATTAACAGAGAGTACAACGTTTATTTAATTATGCTGCACATCACACTGGTGTGGAGAATACACGCAATCCACTGAGAGCATCCACTTAACCCAGAGACACATGTGTTCACTGCGGCTCCGCAACACTAGGCTGATGCTAACACCACATGCCAAACCTCTTGGTAGTTGGTGGAGGCTGATGTAGCAGTGGTGGTGGAGGCTGATGTAGCAGTGGTGGTGGAGGCTGATGTAGCAGTGGTGGTGGAGGCTGATGTAGCAGTGGTGGTGGAGGCTGATGTAGCAGTGGGGGTGGAGGCTGATGCAGCAGTGGTGGTGGAGGCTGATGTAGCAGTGGTGGTGGAGGCTGCTCCCCAGGCACAGACTCAGGCAGAACATACATGTTCACAGCAGGAAGCCTGAGAGTGACTGACTTATTTATTTTTTTTAAAGACTAAACATTTCGTTTTGCATCAAGCGTGAAAACATTGCTCGAACACGAAGCTCCATGTTGAATTCCTTTTCAGCACTGCGTGAGCTGACGTAAGGATTTCGGTTCAAGAAATCTGGTATTCTGAGAAGAAAGGAGGAACGGAGGAGAACAAAATAAGAGGAAACTCAGAGGGGAGGACAAGAGAAACGCAGAGAGGAGAGGAGACACTATTCTTTACTCAAAGGACTAATTTTACCTCCTTGGGCATGGCAGCAGCTGACTGTTGCTAGGAGACCAGAGACCCTTCTTCCTTCACTTGGTGCAACAAAATAATTGTATAGGGTTCTCTTTCCAAAGCTTACAGCGGAACTAAACTGTTCAGAGAGGGACAGCCATGAAGCTAGCCAGGGTTTAAATGTCACAAAAATGTCAAAGGCTGAACAGTTGGTGTCAAATAGTGGGTAATCAATGATGGGTAAGTTAAAAACAATTAAAAAAAAAAGGCTTGTCCAGGGACACAGCGGCATGCAGACCAGCAAGGCCAAAACAAAAAGCCAGGACCTTCAGACAAGACAAGAATCAGATCTACTCAAAGTCCCTTATTTGTGTAATAATTGAAAATTATTTACTGATAAAAAATAAAATAATAGCCTACTTTGACTTTAAATATAAATTTGAATAACAATTAAGACCAAAATGGTACATATTAAAATAAAGTTATCATAAAGTTAGAGTTATTTGTGTTCGGATGGATGATAATGACTATAATTTAAAAGTTTTTTGTGATCAAGATCATAGCTAATCATTTTTACTTCTGTGGCTTTTATAACTGTAAACATGTTTTTATTAACCACATTAGCAGTATTAGCATCCAGAGGCACAGGCTGCCATGTTGGACTCTCTCTACTATAACCTAAAGAAGACGTCAAAATGGAATTAAATTATTTTAAAGTACATTAGCTAGTGCAGTGTTTCACTTGTTTTCATTCATTCTAATTTACTACATTAACTGTCAAAAACAATGGGACTGCACAAAAAAAGAAGGAAAACATTCCTTCACAATAAAGCAAAAAAAAAAAAAATTAATTAGTAACTATAACTGTACAGGTATGTTTCATAGTCCAAAGACACGAGACAGCTGGGTTTCAAACCCTCAGGTGTGTAGACACACCAACAAACACACTTCCCCGTCTCTTCTGTTTCCTTTTCTCTTTGTGTTAGAACTGTTAGCCCCAAGGAGGGTTTGAACAGGATTCACACAGTTTTTCAACCATCTGTGGCATTAAATCTGCAGTCTGAGGGGATCCAGCTCTTTCATTTACTGGGCCGCACAGACACTTCCCACTGCACTCGGTGCATCTCCACAAAAGGCCGTGGAAAGTGAACGGACCCCGGACCGAGATGATGGATGACGACAAATACATCAGCACACACAGGAGTTATGTTAAGCTGTGTAGCGTAAACAAGAGACGTCAGTTTGAGCCTCCTTCGAAACTACGACAAACCACATGGTACGACAAACCACATGGTGAAAAATTCCACTTTTTTGTTATTCAATTATTTCGAAAAATGACCCCGTGCGAGCTTCCACTTTTTTGTTATTCAATTATTTCCGTGGTGATAAACAGACCGTGCTCGTACCTTTTATAACGCTTCCCTCAGGAAAAGAAAAGAGAAATTACACTTCCAAGGTAAAAAAACAAACAAACAAAAAATTCACTGACTTTCAGTTTTGTGTTAGGTGTCTGGCCTGAGGAGATAATCAGGGAATTCATATATCACCAATAATAATCACTGCTGGCCACAGGAGCACAATACAGTTGACAAAACATTTTTAATGCCACATTTCATATAACCTGAGATTTCCTATTTTCCCAGTCCTTCCCAGAAGGACTTCGCTGTTTTGATTTAATGGAGGTGAAGTAAAATAAAAATAAAATTCAAAGATATAAAAAGATGATTTCAGGTGAAGATGATTCTGTTTACTTAACTTAAACAGAAAATAAGAAGTTACTATTTATTTATACTGAAATATTAGTGGCTTAACAAGCTGTTTTACAAACAGAATCTTATACTGAAAACATAGGTTTTTACTATAGGATCAAATTTAAGCTAACATTGAACCACTTCAATTCACAAAATCAAACTAACGCAGAGACAGCATCCCAATAATTGCCAGTGTCCAACTAAGAAACTGCTGCTTTATTTTGGAAAAACTGTATGTGGCTCAATGTGTAGTGGTGATGTCAAATGATTTATGCACACTTCCATTTTTTGAATTTCTCTGTTCCCGTCTTGTGTTTATTTTAACATCTGTTCCAATTAAAATGTGTCAAAAGAACATTTCACTCCACCACTCTGTGTATTTGTACGATCTTAAACTGAACTCAAGTGAACAGCCTTGATGTCGGTTTACTGTCGGGTCGACAGCAGTAGCTGCAGCTGGGTGTGTGTTTTTTTTAGTAGAGGGATTATGAGACAGGAGCGTAACCAATCAGCAAAGGCACAGTTCTGGTGTTTAGGGATCAGAGAAGTGCAGTTGACTGCTTGCTAAAAAAGTATTTTCTTTTTAAACCTCAATAATGGCTGAAGGACAGATACAGTGTGTGCCAGTTCTAAATGTTAGTGCACTAAAACGAGCAACAAATATTATCCTTTCTTTTGACCCTTGTGACTGGGCTTTAACCAGTTTCAAACACATATATTGAACTTTTTGAGCTACTTTTTCTACAAAAGTAAATTTGCAAATGCAATGCTGACACATTTCAAGGTTTTAAAATAAAATGGAAGCAAAAAAGGGAGTCTGGGAAGTATGTTCACCTGTGGATGATGTGCTGGCTCTGCAGATAGTCCAGCGCCAGGGTCATCTCACAGAGGTAGAGCTTGACAGCCTCTTCACTGAACTGAACGCTCTGCTGCAGGTGATAGCGCAGGTCTCCTCCCAGCAGGAGGTCCACCACCATGAACATGTCCTCCTCGTCCTGGAAGGAGTACCTGAAAACAGTTCCAGAAGGACACGGTTTGTTTCAGTTCTTGTAGAATGTATAAAAAAAAAAAAAATTATAAAAAAAAGCAAGGGCAAAGACTGAGCACGCACACACAGCACAGGAGCGAAGGGGACGCTGTTATGCTCTTGCATGCAGCGGATGCAGCACAAAAAACATTTGCAAACACATGCACATTTAGAGAAACCAACAGAAGGCTAACAGCGGCTGAAGATAACGTCTGTGTACGAACGCTGGGAAATGCTGCATTCATGTGTCACCCATCTACTGCTCGGCAACATAACAGCTAGCCGTGTGCACGTACACTAATGTATATGGCCTGAATGCATTAACACACTGTGCTCATTGAGTAGCATTCATTAGTACAGCTGCAGGCAGGTAGAAACTGTTCTAGTTGGCTTCCGCTAAGTAGGACATAGGCTAACAGGCCTATTGGAAAAAAAGTGATAGCAGGCTAAATAAATGATCCGCGGGTCCCAATTGGCCCCTTAATCAGAATTTGGACATACCTGAGCTATAGAGATGAACCTGCCAGGAAGTACTCAATATTTAAATATTTGTATAGGTATTCCCACTTCAGTGTTTGTTTCTATCTCTATGCAGTAAAAACGAAAGGATCCATACATCAATACTTCCTCTCTAAAGCTAAAAGATCAATTTTGTTCTGTAAAATATCTTAAAAATCATGAATTTGTTTCAAATAACAGCCTCTAGCCTGGAATCCCAGCTGAGCTTGGAGCCTTGAGAAAGTGGTACATGAGGAGCGTTAGTCAAGTGTCAAATGGGAGCTGGAGTAACAGCCCTTTTCTACTCGGCGTTACTCGTGATTCTCCAGGCGCTCCTGTCCATCAGCCTTACTAATCATGCACGTCAAATTAAAACACAGCCAGTCGTCAATAGATGGAAATTTGTCACTCTCAACCTCAGTTTGTTTCAGACTCGGGCTGCAACATGGAGATGAGAGCGAAGACAGATGAACAACAGAAACGTCTTTTTCTCATCTCAGAAAACAAAGCCAGAAAACAGCTTCGAAGCCCCCTCCTGTGTCATTAAGCAGCACAGAGGCGAGACAGACAGAGCATCGGCGGATTTTGTTCCATTAGGCAGAGTTTAACGTGATTTCCTCTGAGACGCTTCTTTACTGACACATTAAAACTCAGCTGCAGCGGTCAGACTGCTTGTTTTTGTAAGTTTCCTCTGTGCTCACAGGCCGGGCTCTAAACACTCGGGGGAAACGTCTGATTGGTTTCATCCAGGTGCAATTTCCTGCTTCTGTTTAAATAAAGAGCGGAGCCTGTGTTTGCTGCAGAGAAATACTATTATTCCACTCCATCTGCAAACTGTTCATTCTGGAAGACAGAAAAATAACTTCTTTGCGTATTTGTTTTTGTTGCTACTTTTAGATGAAAACAAATGTTGATACAATTCAGTCAAGTGGCAGAAAAACATTTTAACTGATGTAAAAGGTAAAGTTTAAAAGGTTTCAGTTGAAATTTGAAGTTCACTAAGAAAGTTAAAGTGATAATAAAAATAAAATGTCACTTCATTAAAGCTTTTGATTTCTGTCATTCATTTCCAGTGTCATTTTTATGTTAACATAACTGTCACTTTAATGACGATTTTTCTTTTTTTCTTTTAAAAAGCATGAAAGGTAACCAGCACTAACCATTCTCTTAAGGAATGGTTTATAAAACATCAGAATAGAATAAGAACCCTGCATGTCTTTGGACTGTGGGACTGGAGTACACACAGGAGGAAAGACCAACTGAAGCAAGCCACTGCAGGAAAGATACTTCTACAAATACTACTGCATGAGTACGTGAGAAGCTTTCCTCCGTGAGTAATCCTGCCTTTCGCAGTCGTCCTGTAGCTATTCGAGCCACTTTCATCAGACACAGTGGACCGGAGCTGACCCTTTACAGATCAGCTAGCGTAACATCAACACATGGCAGCCTCAGCAGATGGCCGGCCCCAGGATGTTGTTTGCTGTTGGCAGGGAATCCTCAGCGTCACCTTTTTATCACCTCATTGTCACAGTCTGATTCCTGGTACCTAGTTGACAGATGAGACTCCTCTCAGGCAGAGCCGTCGTCCCACTCCACCAACCAAAATATCTGGCCTCCTCGGAGAAATGCTGCAGTGACTCAGTCTTGTTGTCTCTTGGCTCCCTGCTGTTACTGAGGTGACAGAGGGAAGTCTGATCTGGGAGGACAACCGGAACGTATGAATCCTGCCCTGGTGACAACACTAATCACCTTTCGGACTCATGGCTAAGGTGGACGGAGACGGGGACAAAAATATTTTTGTGAGGTCACTCTTCCTCATGAGACTTCTTTTGTAACTTTCTGAAGAGGGGAAATAAAAACGGTTGATTTTAAAGGCCTTCATCAGGGTTTGACTGTCGTACTTCAACTGTATAATCCAGTACAACATGTATCTAACTGAAGGCAGCAGGTCTGCTCTTGTAACCCAACCTGACCACATTTTATCGTAGTCTGTATTTTACTGTGAATGTACCGGCATCAATTGGATTTTTTTAAAAGCTGGAATATATTTTTTCTACAGCATGTCCCTGGGCAACAAATCTCCACCGTCATCCTTGAATTAGACCAGACGTTTTGGGGGTCACAATTGGCCCCTAAAATTGGACAGTGGGCCAGGGTCAGGAGCAGAGAGATGGAGCATTCCTGTGAACTAAGAAAAATGACATAATTAGCTATCTCTCTGATGTGAAAAGCTAAAATGCTTTGTCTTTTGTATGCCCTCTATTGGGGAAGGGAGGGCATTGCAGAGGAAAGGCAGAAGTATAGTGATATTAAAAATGAATTATTAAATTTGGAGAAGTGTAGTGGACCAGATTAAAAAGCTAAGCGGACCACATCCGGCCCCCGGGCCATAATTTGCCCATTCCTGGATTACATTGAACTTTATTGATCCCACTCTGGGGAAATTGTTGAAACAATTCTTGAAAATGTCAGTCATTCCATAAGTCATCCTCCATTAGTATGGAAGTATTTAATTTTTTTTATTGTATTTCAAAAGGAGTACTAATTCTTTTGAAATGTGGATTTGTATTTAGAAAAAAAAATCTCTCTGATGTGGCGCTGTGTAAACAAGTTGAAATGACTTGTGAAATGCTGCAGAAACCATTCAGCACGAGCATTTTGTCTGGAAGAACAAAGCACGTTGTCAGGACGGAGCAGGCTGTACAGAACAGCCATTTACATATTCTACAGTAGCAGGAGGAAAAAATAATTACAGTAACTTGTGTTAGGGATTTGATCAAATGAAATACTGTTGACAGTGATTCAGTTTCTACAGCACAGTGTTTCCTGGCCTTGGTGAGCCTCACAATGCTTTCCTAAACAGTCTCTCCAACCACACACTTTTATCATTTGTAATCCATTACATTGTAGAACAATTGTTATTGGCAGTTTTTAGTTAATTATCTGTTCCTTTGGAATGTCTGTTAGCCACGAGCTAAAAAACCTAAACATGTTTGTTTCCATGTAGAGAGAATGTCTGTTAGCCACGAGCTAAAGAACCTAAACATGTTTGTTTCCATGTAGAATTATCATATTTAACTCGGTCATTTAAAGCTCTTCCACCGTCGTAACGATCGTAAGAGCTGATCTGTTTGATTATCACAGACGTCATACCTAGCCCTCTTTGCTGCCCTTCAAAGTGAAATACGGGCAAAATTTATAGAACACAATGCTTTGTAATGAGCACAGGGGTTTTGAGGTTTAGACCCTGGAGTATAAGCACAGTGCCTTTAAGCGATATGAGGAGAGGGGAGAGACTGTAGTGTCCAACACCACGAGGTGACCATGTGTAAAAGGCCAGGACAGCACAAGGCCGCGACAGTCAGCGACTACGAGGAGAAGGGTAGCCGGCTGAAAAGAGTACAAGGCTGAAAAAGGCTGAAATAATAAGGCCACGGTGACAAATGAGTCCAGGGACGCAGGGGGGAGAGAGGGAAAATAAAGGGACGACTTTTAAGGGGGTAATGTGTGAGAGGCAAACATGAGCTTGTGATTCTTTTGTTCCACAAAGTTTTCAAGTGTCCTACATACAGCGGTGATGGAGAGTGACGGGCCGGCTCCGGCCGCCAGACTCCATCACAGGACACTTTCATCTCCACTGAGGATTCCTGCAACAACGGCGTGAGTGAACGCTGCTTCTCTTCTCAAACGCCTCCAAACTCTTGCCTTCAGACATACCAGCTCCACTGGCCTATTTTTCACAAGGTGCACCGGTACATAATGTCCTACAAAAGAAGTTTTCAAAAGTAGTGTAATGGGCGGTTTCGTTAAAAGTCCTTGAAGGGTGCGGAGGGAGGGAACAAAATTCTGCAGATGCCCAGAGAAGGAGAACATGTTTCCAGGCATCATCCCACGTTTCTCCTTCTATGAGGATGATTTACAGCCAGGGCCCCCTGCAGGGGGTTGTTATACCTGCTGACTGGAGGTGTAGAGGCTAATTTGTTCCACAGTCTCCAAAGGCCTTGTTCCATATGGGTCTAAAATCAATATTCCTAATGGAGGCTGAGCAGGAGGCAGCACATCTATCCTCACCACTGTGCTCACTTGATTTCTGAGTGTGATGAAGGGCTGAGCAGTCAGAGGACACCACAAAAACGATGGTCCAGGGGTAGCTCTCCTGGATTCCACCACAACAAAAGTGGAGAAATCAAAATCTACTTTCCAAGCAGGAGCACATCTTTTTTTGCCACTAAGGTATTCAACTTCATTTATTTCGGATGAATTAAACATGATTACGCTCTAAAAACTTAGTGAGGTTTGAATTTCAAGCTGTGTTAATCTTCAGGGAGAGATTTAAGGCATTCAGGTTTAGACAGAACCGAGCAGAGGTGTGAGGACAATAATGTTTATAATTACACCTGTATTCATCTAACACTTAACTGTTTATAAAAATGTGTGGTGTTAGTATGTTTGACTTTAATTACTGACTCATGAATCCACGTGTCAGTAAAAATATAACAATTGAGAATTAAGCATTTACCTACTGTGGTATCAGGACATTTGCTACGACCATGTTCTATACCACCATCAGTACAGAGTACTGTAAATAGCTAAGTACTAAAAAGTAGTATTCCATCACTGGGGCCACATATAGACACGTACTTCCACACCTCTGGTCATCTTAGAGTGTCTGATCAACCCTAATCTCCTTTGACTGTGGGAGGAAACCAAAGTACTGGTACAAACAGAAAGACTGACCATGGACTGAACCATCGAACCAGTGATGTGGCTGTAATGCAACCATCCTGGTAAGATTTGTCACCGTGTGGCCTGGAAAACCGCCCAATGTCATTAAACTGAGGTGGAAAATAACAAACAAACTATCATTTATTTACGGCAAATAATTTGTTGTCTTTGTTCGTCAATACAATAGCAGGAAGAACGATGAAGTACCTCCCTGCTGAGTGACAACAGGGGGCTGGTTAGTGAGTCAACTGTGAGCCAACTGAAACTTGATGATCAAACATGTCATTACCTAATCTTTCCAGGGAAATACTGTAGAATATGTGCAAACACTGCTCTGGGTTGACTTTCCATGTTAACTCATCTCAGTCTAGCACTTAGCTGCGACAATTTACACTGAGTATAGGCCAGTAAGGCCAACAAAACCGTAAAGGTGACTCTAATGGCCACCGTGGAACAGGACATATAAACCGAGGTAGATTCAGACACAGGTGGATGATGGATGATGGATGAGAGCCGCGGTCATTTCTGCTGTTGAGTGTCTCTCTATAACCACATTATAAACAACTCTTACTACGACAGGCCACGTCAGTACTGCCTCTGACAGCCATTTTGTTTTTTGCATGCCTTCTCTCTGGCTGTTGGTGTCTCTTCGGCATCTTCCTGGCTCCGTATCGGTAAACAACTCATGTACAGAGCTATTAACGTTTGCTATTCCTGGGAGAAACTTCCTTTGGATTTTGGCTTTTGAGAAGAGGCAACTGGCAGATAAATCACACCAGGTTTTTAATATAAAATATAAGAAATCAATACTGCACTCACGTGAGAAAAAGTGTAAGTGTTCTAGGTTTCATTAACCCGTGACCAAAGGGCCTCTGGGAACTATCGGAACGGTTCAACGGCAAACAATAAAAACACCATTAAAACAATTAGGAACCAAGATGTTCTTGAGGAAAGAACAAATATAAGGATTATCATCCGCCGATTTCATTACCTGCCCAACTGAGATTCCGTCTCCAGCAGGAGCTAAATAAAGCCGACGATTTGTGCAACACAAAATATTTTTGTCACGCACAGATGCCTGCAAAGTGTTGGTGTAAACTGGGGCGGAAATAACAAACACACCATTACTGACTTCAGCTATAAATTGATTTCCTGCAGCTCCTCAGCATCGCCCTCCACAGCCTGGAGACAGATCAAAACTTTCCTTGAATTACTTCTTTGTACCCAGAGAAGGCTCAACGTGGGAGCCGTCTGTAGTGAATCCAGTGATGTGAGAAAATTAAACACTAAGTAAATGTGTTTGCCTCTCTAACATCTCTGGTTGCAAATTCAGTGGATAAATGTGGTGAGTGCCTACAGAGCTGAGTGTGTCGCGGTGCTAAGTGTGCCATTTACCAAGTAAGTATTTTGCTCAGCACGGATGTCCTGGATGGTCCTTGAATCGCTTTCAGGTAAATCCCGGACTGGTGCTTTTTAGCATGAACACCACTAGCTTTTTTATTACTAATAATGATTATAGCACTTAGCATGAAGAGAGCAGGTACAGTCAGACGCTGCAGAAGCTTCTCCTGTAGCAGCACACGACCTTAACGCCAGATTGATTAATGGCAGACATTAACATTCATGATTCGCTCAAGTCCAATATTAATATGGACAGAACCTGGATGGCTCTCTCACTTAATAAACCAGATGTAAAAGTGCATTGATGCATCGTGTTTGGCCTTGTTGTTTCAGCAACTGGAACTTTTTGTGCAAATGCACGCTGAAATATGCATCATATCAGCATCATCATCAGCTGCTCCTGATTTTATCCTTAAATGGTAATTAGGTTTTGTAATTTATTCCTTTTTTTCTAACTGATATTTGCAGGATTTTGGATGGTAAAAACAGAATCCACCTACTTGTTTTGGACACACACAACGCACTTTTTTTTTTTCTTGGGTTCCATTCTTAACGCCATCACATCTCAGAAAAACACTTTCATTATCCATCTTTCATTATGTAAATGAGCCTTGGAATTACAAGTATCTAACATAACGGCACATGGGGACACATATAGATGAGGCAGACACACACTGTTGACAACAGGACCATGTACTGGGCCAGTAAAGGCAGCACACTGATCGTTTGTTTTCAACGTTCTCCTGCTAAGACACAAATGACACAATGCTGCTTTTTCCTCAGTAGTCACATCAGTACACATCAGCACCTTTGTCACTAATTGCCATTTGAGACAGCGCCGGGTGTCGGCTCACGGAGACGAGTGGAAGACCACCAGCACAGAATGAAACAAACATGAACACTAATGCAAAGGAGAAAGAAAAGAAACCCATTGTTTGTTTGTTTTTTAAGTAAAGTAGATTCTGTCGCAGGACTCTGTAGATTCAACATAAATCATTTACTGCTTTAAAAAGGAATGAGCTCAGGAAACAACTCCGGTCATCTACTCACTCACGATCTACATTTAATCGATGAATCATGGATTGCATGAATAATCTGGCAGCGTTCGCCCAGAGAAGATAGGCACATGCAGTTTCACTCTACCAATTACAGGAGAGTAAAGTGCTTTGTGTAATATTCGGCGAATCCTGTGCCAGGTCCCCAATTACATTTAGAAATGTGTCCCACTCGGAGATGAGCGTTGAATAATGAAAGCAGCCTCCATTCACCCACATTTCAGACTCCAGGGAAGAGTAAGGTCATTTCAAACTGCAGTAATTATCAAACGTGTGCTTCATGAGCTCAGAGTCAAAACTAATATTCTAAAATGTCTCTGCTGTGTAAAGTGTTTCTTAGACTAATAGGTGTTAATATCTGGCAGGTTTGTCTAATATATATTTAGCTATATATCTATATATATGTTTTTTTTTTTCAAATTGATTCCAGATTCCTAAAACACGGTGCATGCAACACGGGGGACACAACGTCTACAAGGAGCACATCTATTTATAGGCTGCCGTCGTTCTCACAGTGAACATGCACTCTCCTGTCTGAGCGTAAACACACAGCAATCAGGCAGACAGACAAAGCCGATGACTGACACAGGCAGGCAGGGCGGACCACATAGAAAGTGTAAAAACATGGGATAGTCACCAGAGATTTACTAAAAAAACATGTTCAATTTCCTGTAGGATCTCAAGCTCTCTAAAGACGTTTCGGACCTCATCTCTCTCTATGCACTGCTGTTTGTTCATGTACTTCATGGCGTACATCTTCTCCGTGTCCCTCTTCTGCACGATGCACACCTGCAGGAAGAAACACAACAAAAAAAAAAAAGGAGAAATAGATCAATGGAATCTTTGTTGTGATTACATTGTTGACAGACCTGGAAAAAAAGAAACCCACTCAAATGTCAATGAATTCACAAGGGCTGTAACGTAAAAAAAATGTGTCAGTGGGGATGTACCCATAAACAATTTGATTTGATCACAATTTTTTGAGCTCCAGACAAATTTTGACCAAATTCAAGGATGCTTTATTTCTTAGAACTATGTAAAATACTATTACCAACTGCAGTGGTAAAACTTCATGAACTGAAATTGTTATCTTGAATAACAGAATACAAAAAAATGCACAACAAAAGAATAATAAAAAAATATTAACTTGAAAGAGTTCAGTTCAAAACAGTTTAAGAAGTTTTTCCAACGTTCTGTTTAAACACCTGAACGTCACATAGGCTGCATAGGGACCGTGGTTTAAAAGAGGGTCACAACCAATGTTTTTAGGCACATAGCGCCACCTACTGTACCAGAGTGTGTAGTCTCATGTTATGACCACTCACTTGACGCCCATTTTTTAATTCAACCAATGTGGATTTATCACTTATGATGAATTGATTTTCCATCGATTCATCAAGCGTCGTTACATCCTTACATCTCAGACGAACCTTTAGGTGTTGTTAATGACTGGGGGCAAAGAAACTTGACCATTTAACTCTACAGGTCAAGAAGCTCTAACGCACTTCATTTCCAAACACAAACATGTGGCAGAAACCACTTCCAAACAAATAACCTCGTTACTTATTCATCACAAGTTCTGTGGTTTTGAAGGAAGTGGCAGCATAAGATCGGAGACAGAATAACGGGACGCCAGAGACGGGTCGGAGTCATTTCAGGAGCATTACTGTCCAACCACAATCGAGCTCAAGGAGCCGCTCAAAGTCCTGCATTACGTAAGTGTTTCTCAATGTTGCCCCTGGGACAAAGACCCCAACGCTATTCCTCATTTTTACCTCCAAACACGATCCGAACAATTCTTCAAGGACAAATCTGAAACCTGACATCACTCACAGGTAAATCTGCAAGTTAATACATTTCTTAGTTTGTATTTAATTAACTTGAGATTTGATATTAAAAAGACTAAAATGATAGGAAAATTAACTAAATTAATAGCGATGTGTAACATTCTAAATGGTTTCTGAGGAAGGTGTTCAACTGTAGCTAAAGTTACGTTTCTTTACTCCATTCTTTATTGGCTCTAACACCTCATTAACCTACTCCAATTTTTGTGGGGTTCAGTATTATGAATAGCTTTCATGCACGATGACAACACAGAGAAGAAATTTAATTATAATCAACTCCTGCACCTGAGTGGAATTCTGGTTTAAATAACTCAGCGAGAACATTTTTGGCTGGAGATTAAATTAAAGTCTGTATTTTCCTTCAAGTCAGCCCCTGTATTCTACTTCCCCTCCAGCACGGAGCTCGCTGACTGCCAGGTCTTACTTGGCTGTCTCTCCAATTTCTTCCATCTGGATTTCCCTCCTTGTTCTGAGATCCCATATTCTGTCATCTTCATTTGCTCGTCATAACTCATATAGGCCAGAAAACGCCTGCTGCCGTTATCAACTGTCAGATTTCACTTACAATAATCAGAAGAAAAAGCCGATTTTTTCTAATTTAACATTTTACCACTGCACTTGTACTTGCTTCTGGATAATAAACTCTTCCTTGTTGTATTTCTGTTGCTTCTTTCAGTCAATTATTATAAAAGGCCTGAAACAATTAAACAAAGCAATAAAAAGAAAGGTTGTGAGGGAGTAGTAAACATATTGCTTGCCTTTTTGTTTTCTTTTTACGTCGAACAGTTATGGCTGAAGTAGAGTAATTAGTTAAAATGCAAATAGAAATGTGTAAGTGTACCATCATTGGTAGAAAGGGGGCAGTATTGAAGACATGATTGTGCCTTTTAAAGTATTTTCAGCGGTCTGCTCATTCACTTGTTAATAACTATTTAAAAAACACACAAACACACACATTTTGTTTACTATAAAATAACAGAGCGTTTGACTCCAGTCTGTTGTTGCCTGGTGAGGGGCCATTAACAGTGTCATGTGCTGGAAGTGTGCGGTCAGCAGAAGCATTTCTTTTTAATGGTATAGTGCACCTGGCATGCACTGCTTTCATGTGGTTCAAAGAGAAAGTGTTGTCAGTAACATTTCCAGTGACCAGTACCCTTCAGTGACTCCCTTATTTACCATGGGTTAAAGCTCACACAAATTTATCTCTGTATATATAAAAACCCATCTGATGAGCCCGTATCCAAAGGCCAGGTCTAGAAATCAGTATCAGGATTAAAATAAGATTGGTCATCGATCCGACAAACCCAAAGAGAGTTTCCAGAGGCACAGAAGGAGATAAGGAAGGTGGCTAGAAATCCAAGATAAAAACACATTAAAGCAGCAGCCAGGCAAAAAGTAAAGTTTTTTATCTCAATGTTCTTTGGAAAAATTTGCAACGCTCAAATCCTTTAGTCCTAGTCTGCTTCACATTCTTTGTAATCTGTTGCCGTTCATCTAACAGTATAGCTCTTTAAACCTGTCTCTTCTTGCTAAATGGCGGCTATAAAAAGCTATCATGCTAATGGTTGTAGCGAACTTATAGGTGGTAAAACCCTGGGAATCTCTGACAATCAGATGTCTCACTGTCTGCTGTCCCGTAGCTGCCCCGACTTATCTGAAATCCCCCAGGAAACGGTCAACAACGTGAAGTGACGGCTTTTGAACAGGATTTATTCATATATTCATAGCGTACATTAGCAATTCAATGCATTAGGCTAGTTCTGTGTGAGCAGAGGAAACTCGACGTTTCGGGGAGATAGGCTGAATGCTTTCCATTTGAATGGCTACACATCACTGGGATCGAAATGACAGGTTTCTTTTATCATCGTGATGTGTTTGTTTCAAACTGGAAGAAGCCGCTAATGGTTAACTGTACAGTCATGGACAATAGACTGGCCATAATTAATTCTGTAACATTATCTGCAAAATGCCACTGGTGCTGCTGAGCCAACCCGTCACACTGCTGCTGAGGTTCCCATTGTAAAGTCCTTATTCTGGAGCACCTACTGATCACAAGGCATGGGAAATAATATCCAAACATAAAGGTCATTTTGTTTTTGAACACGAACGGCAGAAGCCAGAGAAGGGCGGATGAGAGCGCTGCCAGATTTCTTCACTGACCAGATGCTGCTGCATTTCAGGCGTTCATTTAACCACATTCGGAGTCGGAGCTTAATGAACAAAAAGTTGCTAGTCAGTAGAAGGCTTAAAATGGATTTTCAGTAAAGTACAGCCAGGTATTTTTATACCTGCACACAGTCTTGGTGTTGTCTTACTATTTAAGGTTAGTTTGAAGAAGGATGACTACTCTATTATACGACTACTACAATGTGGAGTACGCTGAGTATTTTCTGCTTCTGTCTGCGAAAGACTAAAGTACTGTAAGTCTGATGTCTTAAGAATAAATATTCAAAAAGATTAGAAAAATAATCACAAGAGTCAAATGATCAATAAGACTTCACACGGGGCTACATTTTATTGGAGAATTATGATTAAAGAAATATTTATAAGTTGATCTTTGTTTACCTGTTCAACTCCTCCTAAATCCAACCAAGTCTGTGTGCAGCGACGCACAACAAACACACACCAGCGTTCTTTCATGCTGTATTTACATACTACTTGTAAGTGAAATTCACTGTCACACTCCTAGTGGCAGTGAAACCAACACAACAGCTGTCACACTGCTGGGGCCTCATGCAACAGAGAGCACGGTTTGTACCGCCGAAAAAAAGAAAAGGCCATTCACATGGGCTGCAAACCGTGGGTTGTGATGCCAGGGACTCGTGTCTCCAGGCTTTAGACACAAGGACTCGTGTCTCCGTGAGGTGATGCCACAGTGCTGGCAGGAATCTGTGACCAAGAGCTGCACACGAAGCGCGCTTATCTATCCAACTGAACCTGTGAGAGGTGGTCGCACACAGGCAAAGTCAATGTGTGGCTAGTTGTGTAACGCAGGAGCGGCGGACGTCTCCGTGGACGCTCTGATAGATGACTAGACGTCAAGAAGGATGGGAAGATATTCATAATGATGCAAGATATTCAACGTGATAGTCGAGAGCACCTGTGAGCTTCACCCTCACTGACTGCTGCGCTGCTCACTTCTGATAGCTTTGAGCACCGAGGTGTGTAACGTTTTCTTTTCTTTTTTTTTGGCACAATAATTATTTAATCAGCGCTAAGAAAGGAGAAGTGCTCTCCTAATGAGGAGCTCACAGGCTGTTAGTGGTTCTGATTTTCACAGGGTCAGCCAACCTGGCATCTAGATACACTTTTGAATTTGAACAACATCTTAATCCATCCGCAGCTCTATATAAAGCCACCACGCTTATTCACCCATATGTTCGAAAACTTGTAATGGCATTTAATGAGGCATTATAAGTGGCAATTACTGAATAATAGTGGTGGGGTTTAAGGCAAAGGAGGAGAACAGTAACCCTCAGGTAGAAGCTGTAATAAGGGCCAACAGAAACAGTGTTTCCTTCAACATTGTACCAGTTAATACCTGCTAAGCATCTGAGTTCCCTTTGTTTTTTCCAGCAGGGATATGTGATGTCATCATTATTGATCATGTGTTCATTTATATGAGAGAATGATGTCATTATAGCTGATAAATTAATACACAAAAGCAGAACGTTTTTACCCTCCATGTACCAAGGATTCAGTCCCCTCGTGGTAATCGTTGTCACACTGCTGCACCGCAGTACACTGAGCTGGAAATAGCTAACTGGAACTAACACAACAAGGCTGTGCTGCTCCGGATGTTTTTACCAGGCCTGGGGATGACGATTTGCATTCCGGTCTTACCCTAAATTATGAAGCTAAGAAAAATAATATTAAACAGAACATCGGTGTTGGAATAATCCCAAACTGTGCAGGGGTTATATATATGTGCAGATATGACAACGC